GAAGACGCTTCATCCGTTTGAGGATCGGTAAAATGTTCACTAAATCTATAGAGCCAGCTAGAAAATTTCGAGCTCCGTGCTAACGCCATCAATCAAACACGATCAGCCGTACCGTCTTGCTTGAACAAATGTTGCCACCAGTCACCAGAGGTTTACTGTCTTTACCGCCCAGAGTGGTCTTCACTAACTTCTGCAATACGACGTTGTCGTCAGCGAAGTCTGTTCGGTAACATAATATATTTGATTCGTCGTCTGAAGCAGGCAACGTACTGTTTCATCAGCAGCGATCGCTCACCATTTGCAGCGATCTCCAACGACTTCAGATAATAGAGCCTAGAAACAGTCGTGGTCATAAGGGACCAGTATATCCCATTCATGCACCTCCTTTCGTTTGCATTGTGTTTCGGGAAGAGAGTTCTTCCTTGAGAGGAGATGCTATAGCGAGCACAGGAGGCCAATCATTTCACATTGAGCTGTGTTTATTCAAACACTGAGCTCAGTTATGAAGTGTCATATTAAACATGTGTAAAATGCATAGTATGGCGGACTCAAACGTTACGTAAGTTGTAGGCCGCGTAAACTGTTTTTTTTTTTACATTTTTAACTCACTACAGTGTTTTAATGTATTACAGTGCTTTGTCAGCTAGACGCGCCATTATCAGGAAGATCTCTAACTTTCTCTACCCATGTTGTGTCATGTCTGATGCACTGATAAGAAAAGTAGCATCAAAGCTGATTCTCTTTCCCGATCGTGTTCATATTAATGATCACTGAACAATCTCACGTGGATTTTGATGGACCGAAACAAAAGTTTCTATAAAATGGTTTTGACAGAAACTGAGCAACTTTTATTTCCTTCAAACACTCGAACTCAATCAGTTCATAAAAAAAAAAGTTTAAAAGGCAACAACTATGCTTGGTGTTATAGTAGACATATTCAATTGGCGTCACTTGCATTTTCTATGGAAGTCTAAATGGGCCTTTTCGTCTTCCTGGGACACTTTGCGTGTGAATGGCACAGACGGATGGCAATAATAGTAGAAATAATAATAATAATGGTGATGGTGCTGGCGTTATTATGCTTGTTGTTCGGTTATCTAGCTGCGAGCTTAATTAGGATTTCAAGCTTGTCCATATCATCAGTCAACAAAATCACTATTTTTATCCGACATCTGCTAATAGAATTGGCTTCAAGAGATTTCGTGTACCCTTTTCATTACTAACGACGTAGAATTGTTTCGAAAGTACTTTAAAAACGCGTTATAATAAAGTATAGACGTGCACGATATACGTCATTTCTAACAGATCTAACCCTAGACAGCTGCGTAATAAGAAGCACAAAAAACAATACGTTTTAATGCTAACGTCGTTATAACCAATCTTGGGCGTTATTTTTTTGCATTAGATGATACACACATATTACATGGCGTTAGGGTTTGAACGGGCGCATGACGGAGTCGACTGTTGCAAGTTATGATATGAAATGACAACTGCAGTGAAATTATTGATAAATTAAAAAAAGCTCATTCAAACCATTATATAGAACACTTTTAAAAGGACAAGAGAAATAAATATCATTCAGCTATATTTTGTCTAAAAGATAAAGGATAGCAAAACGTTTGACTCGTAATTAGTCTGGAGAACTATTCGACTTCTTTGGGTTATATGGGTTCAAGTCCCTTTAATAATAAAAAGACAATAACCTATTGTGCCGACAGCTGGGTACATGCGACACTAATATGCCTGGAATAGATGTTCTCATAGAGGTATGAATAAGATTAACTGAAATAGTTGCAAGAATTCGATATAGAATTTGTTAAAGTATCTGACTAATAAATTTTTATATTCTAAGATCCCTCGATCTCATATAAAGCCTGTTACAAGCTACACAATCGACGCGTAGTGTAAGTAAATTAAAAATAACTTTAAGCAGGCGAAAAAGTTTTCAGGTACCGTTCGAATCCGTATATAGAGCCATGCTTCTGCTTCTGCTTCAGCCCAGAAACAAATCTATTTGAAACAAGGGGCTCTATAATCAATGAAAATGCTAGCCTAATCTCCTTGAATTACAACATTAATATACATTCTTCATCAATACCCCTCGGAGGGACAACTTTCAAAAGCAGTCTTTGCTGGCGAGCAACTAGAACGATTACTATGTAAATATAGCATAATAAAAGCTTCATAAACATACAATTGCTTCTGTCCATATTGCAGTACTTAACGAATCGGACACTATTTGCTTTTAAATTTCAACATTTGATTATTACATAATCGATGTCAACTCGAGTGCCCTGTGCTCTGGGAGTTGGACTGTGTCCTCATAGTGCTACTCATGTATTTGACTGAATCTTCTTGTAAGTTCACTTCTTCGCCATAAAAACAGCTATCACCATAAGGAATAGCAGTGTAAACCGATATACGGTAGGAAATGAAGTTCCTGGAGCGGCCGCTAGTTATGCAGAACACTATCGTATTGGGTGCTTGCCGTGCATAGAATCAGTAAAGATGATGAAGCTACGGTTCAAATGTAAACGCAAATGTTTTCTATGCTGTAGCCGTTCTTAATGTTTGCTAAATGTATATTTCTAGATACATTGTTTATGCTCCTCTGTTACACCTTATAATGATATGTTTTCGTTTACAGCCTTTCATATGAGATGATGAGAAAAAAAAGTTCCTCGGGAAGATCTATTCTAAAGAAGACTTATTCATGCTTAATAGGAGCAAATATAGTCGCTTGTTTGCCGCTTCTACCAAAGGCATTTTACGAGAAGCAGAACAAAACGTACACTGTTTCCTGATCACTTAAATGTTGACCGTTGCTATTAAGATTTAGTGCAAAGTCAGGTTTCTAGATGAAATTTGCGTTTCCATTTTAAAATCATTGGCGGTCTCGTGGAGAGCTCGTTGGTTCTTAGTTGTCCAACTAAACAGAGACATTCCTGGTAGCCAGATAAACTGACTGGTCAGATATTCCGTCTTTACTGTCAAATGGATCTCTAGTTAGTCTGATTTCATCTTTCATTACAACATGTGTGTTCATTACAACCTATTACTACTACCTATTTTTGTATGGGTAATACTTTAGGTTATTGAGCGGATCCGTACCAAGATCGGTAGCGTTTGTGAGGTCTTATCGCTTTTTCGAGTGGCTCAAAAACTAGAAAAACGCTTCTAGCATTCGCCTGTTAGGAAGTAACTAATAAGTACTGTTCCAACTGTGTTGACGATTTCAAACTTCATACGACTAAAAATCAAAATCTTCCGTATTAAATCGATTCGTAAAAGAAATTAATGCTTATAAGTAGTCAACAGTATCAGTAGATGCCGAAACGTCTTTCTAGCTGTCCTGAAAAAATCCGACTCATCTGCGTTAAAACTGCCACCCTGTGTGCTGGTCTAGTTTTACTACTAAATGTATTTTTGCGATCCTGCATTATTTTAGAGATGCAACATGTGCTAACATTAACTCAAACGGAAAACGCAATACTGTAGCACAGAATAATGAAGTTGAGGGCAACCCTGTCAGTTGAAAGAAGAAAAAAGATTTAAAGTAAATCTTTTTCACCCATTCAATGACAGTGGTTACTTTTGTTAAGAGTTAAAACGAGGCAGGCAAAAAAAAGAAAGAAAAATGTTTTTAGAGGCATTCTAACTTCGAAAATAGGCTCTTTGCTAACGTTGAGGGAATCTATCCTTTAACGCATTTTCAGGTTCAATCAAAAAAGTTCTTTGCATCACAAAAGAATCATCCAAACGGTTGAATTTGAAGTACACCCTTGAGGTGTCGCTTATCCTGTGAGTTCAGGAAAAGTGCGAAAGTATGCATTTTACATTAATGACTGTATAAAGTAAACAGTCTGTAGTGACAAAGTCAAGGTCTCTAGATCATCCAGTAGAAAGATAAATCTATACGGCACAAAAACAGGGCTATAAAATAATGTTTGCTGAACGAGACATTCACATGGATATATGCATAAAAATTCGCGCACGAATAATGGATGTACACGGCTTCATGCAAGCTGAGCTAAATCATGTATCGTGGCAAGCCAAATGAGAAAAGATCTGCGAGTATAGACTTATCCCAGTTTGATCACATAATGCCAATCACTATTTTATTAAGTATCTACTGCTAGAAAGCAATTCGATATTCCTAACGCAACACAAGCTGGTAAAACAAATCCGGACTTTCCTAAATGCGGTGATCTATAATTGACTTCTTGTATTCTAGACACGAAATAACGAAACACAGGCGACGTGATGAGACGATTGGTATCAGTTTTTCAAACAGCTTTGCATCGATATAGCAACTTTATCCTAATATAAAAAGCGGAAAAATGGAAACAAATCTCAGCTGCTGCTCAGTAGTAAACGCCTAGGTCAACCTAGTGGACAAGCGATTATTAGGTTTACTCCTGTAATTATATAGACTATTGCCTATGATCAATTGAACGGCAACGTCACTGCAGAGTTAGTCACAGAGAGCAGATTGTAAGAAAAAATATAAAAAAGCATATATATACATGTATAGGAAGAAAGAGAGAGAGGGGGATAAAGAGAGGGAAGGAGAATATACGCTTTACATACGAAGATTTCGGACCATCCATTTGACATATTTTGTCTGCGATCATTTTTCTGCGCACAGGATCGTACGTGATTTATAAATAACGTTTAAAGTACTTATATTCCGTTTTTTGTCCATTAAGATAAATGTAAATAATAAATAAAGTTATTTAAAATCGTGGACTTTAAAAGACTATTAAGTTCAGTCTTAAAGAATGAATGCTAGACGGGAATAATTTGGCGTATATTGGCTGAATAGTCGTCATATCAATATTTAGTGCGAATGACAATTGAGACCACAATAGAAATGAATAGAATTTTTTTTTATTTAGCAGTAACAAACTTTCTTCTAATAAAATACATATTAAGCTATCGTATTTTTTTTTATTTATCCATATAAACAATAAACAGTTTTTTTTGCCAATGATACTCACTTTGGCGAAGCTGGTCGGACATTTCCTTCGAAGAATCGTTTAGGGCTATCCACAACAATGGGCACTGAGTATCCTCGAAAAACCATATTGCCTTCTATTTCTTCCTAACCTTCACCTAATTAGAACTGAGAAGTAACTAGAACTGTCTCACTTAATTTGTGTATCCACAACGACGATGGTATTATCCATCATCTACTAAATGGTCCTATGCAGTCAATTTTCTTTTCAATCGAATGTCCATCCGGTCCGTCAGCGCCACTAGCTTAACGGGAAAACCATCTCTTACAATTGACACATACAGTCACGAATCAACTGAACGCGAATTCTTGTTAATATCTCCTAACTACAACTCATCGAACAGATTCACGCCGCGTAATTAAATAGGTACCAAAGCACATTGTATCCTACCCGATATTTAATACATCTCATGCTGAGACGGATGAAGGTAGTGAGTCAGAATGAGAAAAGCTGTTGTTTCTTTTACGTTGCTTTCAAATTGCCCGTTGGTGCTTGTTTCCTTAAGCCGGGCTGTTCGGTCCGGCCACACGTCCTAGATGCTATCCTAATAGGCGGAGCACCAAATGCCGCCGCAATATAAACAGTAACGAAGCCATGAACTCTGATACACAAAAAACACGCAAATAGAAAAAAGAAAAACACTACAGCAGCACCGTGGCCACGATGAAACCCACAGAGGTCGACGTTCAGTACGTTGTCGGCTTCCCCTAGTCACTCGTCAATTCCAATCGACCAATGCTCATTCCGACCCAGATGTAACATGATTGAGCCCAGAGCCACTCAACTCTAAAGAGACACCAACTGCACGTACTATCGGTTAGAAATGTTGCTGGTCCGAACGCATGTAAGCCAACATTAGCTTGGCTAGACCAGTGAACGCAGCGGCGAACCCAGCAGCAAGACGATTCCTCCGGCAGGGCCTCCTCACCTTTACAAACTCGTCGACTTTATTTCCCGTCGCTCGTAGCACAATAAACACCCCGCTTCCTTTTACATAGCGCAGATGGGCTCAGCCACTCACACGCAGATTCAAAGTATTTATCTTCCGATCCCAACAGCAGTCCCTACAGATACCACAATTAGCGTTAAAGTTATCGACGCTAGACACGAACCAGAAAGCACTGGCCGTGGTCGGTTGCACTACGAATAAAAACACACCCTCACATATATTTTGATAGCAAAACTGTTTAGCAAATACGTGATGAAGCAGCGACAAAAAGATAACAAGGAGCTTTGAAATATATTGCGAGTCAACCACAACGAATCGAGCGGCACAGCGATGCGATTAAGGAAAATTGCGCCGTTTTAATTAAGCTATTCACTTGGGCTGCGTGAAAGCACGTGCATAGATTGAATGCACGGCTCAAAGTAAACTTCACAGTCATTGCTAAAATTAAAACTAACGGACAAAATTTAACCGAACGATATTTCGAGTATCGGGTATAAAACTATAAATTCTTGCTATCAATACGGGAATCGTAGATAGCTTTATTATATCGTTAGTCTCACATTAGCAGCCGGCACAGAACAGGTTTCCGTTGAAATTTCGCGGTTCAGCTTTCGGATCGAATAGTTAGGTTGATAGCCTCGGCTCGAGAGGGCGCTTCAATCGGGCATGGGGTTAGTGTTGACAGAAACAACCGCCAAAACCATGCCGATGGCTGATTAATACCAAGCTAAATTATCCGTTACGGATAACACTATTTGGCAGCGAACCGATTACATAGAGGGTGAACTCAGTTTTCCTAGATAACCGTTTACGCCTGAAAATGTATCTGTCAGTAGAAAACTATTATCTAATAACATATTCTTGTAAGCCGATCCTACATATTTAAAACTCTAAATTATTTTTATTTGGGATAGACGGTGCTACTAATCTATAGCTTGGGACTGTATGACAGTAAGGGTCTCTTACAATTAGCAAGCCAGATGTGCATTATAAGCAATCAATACAATATCTATCTGCTCTATGATGTTCATCGCTACATTAATTCTTTGCTTATAAAACGGATAGTACATTTTCAACCAAGGTTTCTTTTTTTGGTATTGTCTAATGTGCGGCTTCATTATGAACTCTGCAACAATGGGTTTTAATGGTTCCTATTTGAGTTGTTTCTCATTTTGGATACCTCTCTAGATGGCTATTATTATAGTGTCATCTATATATCACCGGTAGGTACCATTAGATAAGTCAGAAGAAATTTTTAAAAATTTCGGATGTAGTGTTCGTTAGACATTGCACGATTTCTTCGCGCGAAGGGAAGTGGTATTCATCTAACAATGTTTCCCTCTCTTTTTTTTTGAGCTAACCCAGTTAATTTACCCAATGAATGCCTCCGCTACAGATGATTGCATCTACACATTTTCTTTTTATGTAACTTTACTAGGGACCAATTATTCGTCGCTATTTGTTGATAGATACCTACATTGTGTTTGATTTGCGAACCCATAGAAATATGGAGACAAACAGGGAACGGAATTCACACGGCAATCACGATTTCATGTAAACAAATGAAATCTTTTGTCGATGGGTGATGCGATCATAAATTAATTGAATATCTTTAATATATGACAGTGGGAGGTCATTTTGGTGATAAATCTAGGACTGACCATTCTCCAGTTGCGACTCTAATGACATCTGAAGGCCTATAAATAAAAAGCCATTAGTGAGCTATAAATAGGTTTTGACGCATGCGAAACTCTACTATAATGGTATGATAAAACATGAGCGTCGGAGCAAACGTAATAACTCAGCGTTTCAGACCCCCCTTTTTCCATCTGTGTTATGTATTCTCAGTTAAATAAGTGTAGACAATCTAACAGTTACAAGTAACATACATACTTCATGTTCTTGCAGGAGACGTGATTAAAAGCTGGTCTCGTTTCGTCGTTCGGTGGACTTCGGGACCTTGCGGCCTCCTTATCGGGATCAATGGGATCTAAGTCAGATGGATCAAAATGACTCACCACGTCCAAGTCGGTGCGACAGCCCCCAAAGAAAAACTTGTCCAGTTCGGTCATAGCCGCCTGTATCTTTAGACAAGTGTCATCAAATATACAAAAAATAAACACAGAATACATTGATTAGTCTTGATAATAGTAATTACAAGTTTTATGAAGTTGTTCGTTCACTTTGTTACAATAGCAGTATGGCGCTTTACCGCTTCCTTGCTGCGTTCATGCTATCTACATGAATGGTCCGATGTACGCGCTTAAAGCCATTAAACGAGGCCCGCGAAGTACCGATTTACGAAAAATAGCTGTGTCTAAAACAGAACTGCATAATCCCATAATTTACGATAATTTAAGTAATACATTTTCAGCTAACATTAAAGAAAGTTAGTTGTCATTCTATAATAAATCGAAGCAAAATATATTATATATAAAATATATAAAATTAATAAGGATTAATGTAGCAGTTAATATTTAAGTGTTATCGGGGTCACCTTGTTCAGGTTTCAATTATTAAGGCCGATAAGAAGCAAAACGCTGCCCTACATCAATTGCGGTGCGTTTGCATCTTGGTTAAAGTTTTCGATGATTTCTTACGTATTCGCAATATGTATTTAGTCGTTGCAAACGTCCTAATATTGTTCTGCTGTAATAATCCAAATACGAAATTCTCGTTAAGAAGCTGCTTAATTCTAATATCCATTGAAATGCACTATCAAAGCATAGAGACAGGGAGGCTACGTTGATTTGGAGAGACTGTGATTACTGCAAGATCACGCGCGGCCTCGTCTAACAAAGCTAGCATATAACAGTAAATAACAGTAAATCAGTGCTGGCACCCGATCACGCAAGCGACACCAAATAAATCCCAGTCACTTTGAATAGAATATTCTGTGGCTTTCGATGCAACGATTATAGAGTAATAAAATTCGGCAAACTCGTTGCTTAGTTCCCGCGTTCAGTTGATTGAGCTGATAATGTTTTTATAATAATCCCTGAGAGAAGCTCTAGAAAGCTGGCACAATAGAGATCAGATGTAGTCTGCGTACATTGATTTATGCTTCAGACAATAGACTCGAAGCGTGCATAATAAGAACTCCATGCTCATTAAAAAGTTTTATGTGCGAGCGGACCTTGACAGTTAAGAAGTAGTTCAATTTGTATCGCGTTGGATTGTTGACAACATATTTAAATGGCAACAGAATATCTTACGCTAATCACAGTAACGTACATAGTTGTCTGTTTAAGAAGAGATCGATTAGCGTACGGAAGCACCCCAACTCGAAGACTAAATACCATAACAAAGCAGACGTAGCATTTTGGACATAGTTTAAGGAAATGACTAGCCCAGTCTATTCCTTCTCCACGTCTCAAGCCAGCTTGCCATCTCAATCAATCCATCAAGATTATTTGGGCTACTCGTCACGGGTGGATAGAGCATTGAGAAGTTTTAGAGTAAGTTCTGATAAGCATTTAGATTAATCAATTAGATGACACATACTTGTGTCCAATAAGAGAGTTATTCGTCTAAAACTCTTTTACAAAAGTATCGTGTTTTATCAGTAATTTTCATATAAAAGACACTTTCGAAAACTAGAATTATCTTGTCACATTGGACCACTCACAAACTATAATACTTACCGAAAACGATAAACCTAATTACGCGGAAAGTTTGCACATCGCTTAAGAGCGTTCGAATAACACTATACTATATATTGAAGATACTTTAGGGTTAAAACGTTGAGCTATAATGATTATCCAGAATTATTAACGCTTCTATTGGTCTTTTGGCGACTTGACGTACACATAGAGGGAGTTTATCTTAAATACGACGATGCACTGATCAATTTACGTCAATAGGCTCAGTACGAAGTAAGCATCGCTATTTTAACTCGTTTCACTTACGGCACAATTGAACGTGACAAAACAATTCTGTGGCTAAAAAGTTCCCATAGTATGCATTATGTCCAGTTAGATAAAATGTACTTTTTTATGAGATCAGGCTGTGCGAACTCTGTGCTTACACTCAAGCTCACCTTAACCTACATGCCTTCGGTCTGACTTAGGCGGTGTTAGCTGCATCTGTCAAACTTTCCTAATAGCGGTGAGCGGCAGTAGCGGCAGTGATTCTCCGTATTGTAAATCCGCCGTAGAAGTGTTGGCTTTTTGTTGACCTCCGTCAGTGGACTGTAGCTAAAAACAAATAGAAATTTTCTCTCTCTGTCATAAATAATAATAGCAATCATCATCATCATTCACGCACATGGTTCAAACCGCCGCTTACCTACAGATTTTACGTCGAAACACCACAAAATTGTACTACTTATAGAAGTCATCTTTCTCCATTTCTGTAGATATTTTTTTTAAATGGTTAGTTAACTATTACACGATAATGCTCTACGATAAAGGATTGTAGAATTCGATACAGATTTGTCACATACGATACGATCCGTTCGATTTTATACGTATTTACGTGTACTTTTATTACACAGGATATTTTAAAATTCTAAATAAATTCTCGAGTAGCGATAATAAAGCAAAGTAAAAGAGTAATTTTTCCACTAATACTCCTTTGGCCGCTTGAAGTTAAAGTCTGGCCAGAAGCAGCACTTCCGTGATTTTGATACACAGAATTTACTTATAAATTATATACATAACAAGGTGTATTCGACAAAAAACGATTACTGCTGTTTATTTATTCTGCACATAAAAGAGATACCAACGCTGATCCAGCAAATGAATAAAATCACATAAGCACGAAATTGTAAAATTACGGCAGCTGCGCAAATTATTATTTATTATTATTCGAGTGTGAATCAAACGCCAAAGTCAGCTCTTGTTTTAAAATATCGTGACGTACCTGTTCTTTGGTTCAAGCTGGTAGTTTATGAAAAAATTAGAAAAGTAATGGTTTCCAGTTGAGATGTCGAGTGCAATCACAGCATCAACATGGGGTTGCACCATAACACCTAACTGAAGTGTAAGGGAATTAGAGTGGTGTATATTTTAGAAAATGCTTTTAGGCACTTTCTGAAAGACTTTAGCGAACGGATAAGAGTCCGATGCAGCAGTTCAGCAATGTTGTAAAAAGGCAAACGAAGTATTTAATATATAGTGATTGTTCCTGCTGTTGCCGCTGAATTCACGGATACTTGAGATGGTCTAGGGCCGAACTCGAGCGGAGACAAATGTCCATTTGTGCGTGTAGCTAGATTAAAGGCAGTGGAATCGGCCGTAAAACATGTTTGAGAATCGAAACCTTCTTAGAAGTCCCACCACGAAGCAGGATGTTTCTACTCTTCGCCTGAGCTTCCTGACCTTGTTCCCCTTATTGGTGAAGTCTTCTAGCCATAAGAGGTCATGTCTAATTCATATGATGCGCATTGGTGAGCTTATCGTTCACATTTCAGCTTTTATTGAAACTGCTTTGCCAAGAGTCGTTGATACTCTATTTAGTAAACTCCGTTGACGTTGAGTTTTAAAGTCTCCTATGTGAAATAGTACTAAAAATATCCTCGATATTAACAAACTTAAATGTATAACATATCTACTTCAAACAAACATTTGCCCATGGCGGCGACAAGTGTTTGCTGGGAGGAAGCACCTAGGGGAGTGGATTCACTTAATAATACAATATTTACAGAGGGTTTACAAAGTGATACAGAGCGAACTCTCGTGGACTTCGTAACTTTGTTTGAATGCAGTAGATTTTTTTAACTACACGTTTTCCACATAAAATATATTTACCGGGCTAAAAGCCCTCACATTATTATTGCACATATTAAATGCTCAACAGTGCTCAGCCCAGCAGATATGCCTCCGATTGACTCTAAAATTAGTGGGTGATATTTTTCACAGTAAGTAATTTGTGATCCCCAAAAGTTTTTTTTTGAACAAAAT